ATGAGGATAGACCCAGCGCTCGCACAAAAAAAAAAAAAAAAAAAAATGAAGTTTTGGCATCCCAACGATAAAGTAGACCTTGATTTTAGAAAAATGGAAAATCGAATATTTGGTTTCTTATCCAAAGAAGATTTGAAAAATACGGCGTTAGCACTTTCCTGCACTTATGCATTATCACGACACAGATATTCCCTGAGGTTGAAAAATCATATCCGTCATATTCTGTGATTTCAATTACTAGTAACTATTGGAGATAGGAAGAATTGGAATGAGTTAATAAGTTATAATGAATTGATTGGTAATAATAATAACTATCGATTATTCTTTCATATCATCTTATAGGGGAATTCTCGAGATGTCGAAATATGCAAACTATGAGTTAAAACCAACGACGTGGAATACTGCATTACGGGGACGGTAAAATAACCCCTCAAGATTTAGAGAAAGCTTTGGAACTCACACCTAAGATAAATTTCACCGGCGATCAAGTATGCTCCATTCTTTGTTCCTGTTTAAAATCAGAAACTAGAAGTAAGGAAGAACTTATAAGAGACAAAGATTTGATGACGTAATGATGTAAATTCAAACTTTAGCACCGAAAATCCTTCGCAATGAATCATTGGACACCGAATTATGCTATTTAGTTTGGTAGAGAAAAACCGATCGACGTAATAGCCGGGGCTCATCCTGATTGTTCACTTTTGATATTCACATCTTACAAAGATCATCTAGAAATATTCAAGAGACTCGTACTCGCATATAGTAAGAAAATTTGAATGCATTTTTGTATTATAATTTAATTGTAATTAATTAAAGAATAGCATCATACCACGATTAAACAGACAAATAGTTCTAATTGTGTGATTTTAGCAAATGACCCATTCCATCGCAATGAAGTAGAAGGAAGTCCAATGAACGGAGCAATCATCCCACGCGATTTAAGTTTCTTCTCGCATCAATATTTTTATCTCAAGCAAAGAATGAGGTTTGTTAGCCATCTTTTATATTAACAGAAGCAAACTGTAATTATCACCAAATTATGTTAAAGTTGTCCAATGTTGATATTAAATCATTTTTAACATAAATACGTTTTTAGCACAAATAATTTCTATTCCAAACATCGCATCAATAAGTAAACGTGACAGTGAGTTGTCATAATACTTGAGTGATAAGGATAATGAAATGATACTTGAGTGATAATGAAATCTTTTTTTGCCTAAATATGCTAAGAATTGCAAGCAGAAGGCATAATAGCGCAAATAATTTAATTAGGGAATGCAATTAGAATTAGAATTAAACCAATACAGCGAGAATGCAATTTATTCGACCCCAAAAGATCAATGCAAAACTCTACCGAATATTCACTAATGAACAGGTATATTGGTCATTGTCATGCTTGTCCTTAACTGCAACAGTTTTTTTTTAGCATATACGGAAGCAACAGAAAACATAGTTTCATCTCTACAAAAAAATCGATGGAGTTAATTAAAGCTTAATGCATCAGTATTCAACACTGCGAAGGATAATGTTTATAGTGAAGTGAATTCTACATAAAATTTCTTTGCTCCAGCTTATAAGAAGTACGATCTTCGGAACCTAATGAAATAATCATGAATCCCAAGATGAAGTGAAATTGGCCATTGTAATTGTCAACGAGGTCAAATATACTAGTGGATACGCTACAAGTTTAGCACAGGATGTAGTCAGTGAAATTAGAAAGGAAGTAAAGAGAGCGCCAATTTGCGTTGCTGCTCAATCAAATAATCGAAAAGAGGAGTAAATCAGACTTGATCATTTCTTGGCTAACAGATCAATCCAGAATTGAATAACATCGAAAAGAGCTCAGTGATTTGCCACAATATTTTTATATAGTACAGTGTTAATTCTGATAGATATTATGCTGATGTCGGCTAAAGTATCAAGCATTATTGATGGACCGTTCGCTGAATCAAAATTATCAGACAATAACACGCATCACTTGCGTGTTATTCTTAGTCTATTTTATCTCTTAGTCTTTTAATTCTAAATCTGATATTAACATGATTCCTTATTTTATTTTATGTGTTAATAAATCAATCACTGATTACCAAAGAAATTATTTACTAATTAACTGCTCCAGTGTCTATATTAATACTATCCGGGGACATTACGGCATAATTAGATGGAAAAAAAGAACCATTAGAGAGATATAAATTTGTAACATAAATTTACAGAAGGAATAACCTATAAAATACATAATTTTTGATAAAATTAAATTTTTTGTTATGAAATTA